CTGCTCTGGCAATCAGTGTGCACCAGCCTTCCCAGCATCCTCATCCCCGGTGCCCTCCCCTTGGAAGAAAAAATTGGAGGGGGGTGCAGGTGCCAATAAGCAAAGCATCAGAGTGCTCGGAAGTGAGACCAGGGTATCGCGGGTGAGGCATGACTCTGTCCACAACGGCGCTGAGAATTCACATGTGTGTAAGTGTGTGTGTGGCTCAGACGCTCTGAAATGAGTTCTCACCCACTGGTGAGTGGAAAATTAGCTTTGGCAGGCGAGGAACTGGGTGACAGGTGAGGAAGCCAGCAGGGTATCGGTGTGCTTCGTCTACAGTTGCTGTTTGCTGGTGTTGCTGACAATATCTCACCGTGCTCCCCCAAACTGTAATTAGGTAGAGTGGCAATGACTTGGAAGGCCTTGGGTGTGTGGGAGGGGGGCACTAGTACCTCAGAACGGCCTTGTGACCTTTGGACGCTGGCCGCGTGCTCAGCAGGTGGGCCGAACTGGGCAGTTGAGAATTGGCATGTTCCCGATGGCCCACAAAGCAAGCTGTGCAGCTTACATGGTTCCGGTGGGTGGGAGAAGAAGCAGTCCAGGGACTAAAACTGGGAAATTCTGCCATATGGCACAGTGTGGGAGGCCGTGTGGGCCAGGACCGGCAGGCGGGGGACCTGGGGTCTTGGACTGGCTCTGCTGCCTCCAGATGACCTATAAGCTCTCCATGCCTCGTTTTCTCTAACTGTAAACTGGGGCAAATAATCTCGCTGCTGCCTGCCCGCTGTGAAGGGAAAGCGTATGCAGGCCCTTTGACACATCGAGAGTCGAGAGCACTGCTCCAAACAGGAGGCTCACGCAGGCCAAGGGAGTTCTCGGAGCCTGTAGGGGGGCAGCGGTGTCGGCTGCCTGGGCGTCGGTTTCACCACCTCTGCCCGGACAGGTACCTGAGCATCTGGGACCCATAAGCCTCATCTCCTCTCCATAGTCAGCCCACAGGGGGAGGCAGGCGGCCGGCTCTGGGCCTCCCCTGCCCCCACCTGAGACGACAATCCCTCCGCCCTCCCTGATCTCTTCCCCGCCTGTCAGTTTAATTTAACAAGGTTGCGGGAGAGGTTTGATTTAATCAAACCCGTTGCTCTATCCCTTCTGCTCAGAGGTCCCTCAGTGTCACCACCGAGGCTCAGATTAGACAGTGACAATTACTTTTCTTCCCTGGCTATTGCCTCCCCCCTCCCCCTCTTTCTGTCCCTGGAGGGCCGGGAGGCAGACCGGTCTCCTGGGACCTAAGAATAGATTCGGAGGATCAAAGGAGGGAAGCCGCCGTGGCCTGAGCAAGCCCCTCTCTGCCTTCCCTGGCCTTGTTTAAAGCTGAGTGACAGACTGAGGGGTGGGGGGTGGGGGGCGGAGACCGAAAATGGGAGCAGAGCTGCCTTGGAAAGGCTCGAGGGTGCCTGAGGACAGAGCTGCGCCATCATCTGTGCCATCACCGATGGTCCTTGCGATAAAACCCCCATCTCCGTCATTGTCCTCGGGACTGGGGTGCAGGGTGGGCCTGCGAGTGAGGAAGCTGTGTGCTCCTCCAGCGCCAGACCACCAGCACTTATTGCCAGCCTGGCGCTCAGCCTGGATTCTGGGGTCTCTGCAGCTGGGGGACATCAACAAAAAAAAGGTGAGACTCTATCACCCTGAGTTTCTGTGGCTCTCTTCTTGGCACCACACCCACAGTGACGGGAGGAGCTGCCACCCGAACCAGGGGCTCCAGGGAGGCTGTGTGGGTGTGGGTGACCGGCGGTGTGCGTTGGGGGAAGGAGGCTGACTGGTGTGGGAGGGTGTGTTGTGTATTTAAGTGCCGGGGGCTGGAGACCAAGGCAAGGGGGCTCTCTGGTGCAGAAACCTCAGAGTTTAGGGAGTTTAGAATTCCAGAACAAATCTCTCTTTTGGCCATTTAACCCTTCAGGTTCTTCCTTTCCCAGGAAGTGGGTGCTCAGCACCTCTTTTCTCGGGCAGCTCACGAAAAAGCGACAAAGGACTCCTGAGGGTGACGGAAATCCTGAAGGTGAAATTCTTTTTGCCTTGTGCTCTTCGGTGTTACATTCTCCCACCGGGCTGGGCCACTGACAGGTGAGCCCCACCCTGGGCCCCCTTGGAGTCCCCCCCATCTGTGTCCCCTCCAGATAGCCAGCAGACACCGTCACCCTCAGGAGTCGATGTGATTAGTAGAAACTCTCCTGACCGCGCCAAAGAGAATCCCTCAAACGCACACCCTATTGAGCGCACCTCACTGCAGCTGACAGCCGCTTTATCAATTAAATTCCACATTCCCTGTCTTCAGAGACGCCACGAGCCTCCCTACCTAATAAATCACAGACCCCCAGTTATTGTTACATGTCCCATCAGTCTCTAATAAAATCCCTGCCAACAGGGGCTGGTTATTTATTATGCTGCCCGGACAGGAATGAATTGGGCCCCATTCTCATCGGGAGGAGAGCGAACGTGATGCCTTCCTCCCTAAAGACTGAGGCTGTGATATTAAATGGGGGCAATTAATCAATGTGGGCTTTGGGTGTTGGGGGGGGGAGTCTGGTCGGGAGAGAGAGGGGATGGCCTGGGGCTCTGTGCTGAAAGCCAGCCAGGCAAGTCCCCACAGAGCACAGGTGCCCGAATGCCTGTGTGAAAAGGTGCCCCTAGTCCATGGGGCCCCTGCAAACACACTTGTCTCCGCGTTGGGTTGTGGCCACTTAGGATTCAGCAGGGTCGTGATGTCATAAGTTCTGCCCAGCAGACCAGGTGTTATTACTCGATACATTTGATGTAACAGGTTCATTTACTTTTCAAAAATATTTTATTTATTTCGAGAGAGAAGGGAAAGAAGGGAGAAAGAGAGGGAGAGAAATATGGATGTGTGAGAGATACGTCAATCAGTTGCCTCTCGAGTGCCCCCAAATGGCTCGCAACCCAGGCAGGTGCCCTGACTGAGAATCAAACTGGCGACCTTTCCATTCACAGGCTGGCGATCAATCCACTGAACCACACCAGCCAGGGCCCAGGAAGGATTTTAAGCAAAGAAAGTGTCAGTCATTCCATTAATGTTTATTAGGTCCATGAAGGGCCTGGCACTGCCTTGACAAAAATTCTCTTTTGTGAGAAGCTCATAGTTTTTTTAGTGTGAGGGACAGACATGGGAACAAGGAACAAGAACATAGTAAGTGCCAGACTGGACTTATCTGCAGTGTGAAAGGGGAACCTGGGGAGTGAAATTAAAAAGGTTGTCCAAGGAGCAGGGTCTGAGGTTGGACCCAAACAACCCAAGATATCCACTTAAGAAAAATCCTTCTAACCCTGGCTGGTGTGGCTCAGTGGATTGAGCACTGGCCTGCAAACCAAGGGGTCGCTGGTTTGATTCCTAGTCAGGGCACCTGCCTGGGTTGCAGGCCAGGTCCCAGTAGGGGGCACGTGAGAGGCAACCACACATTGATGTTTCTTTCCCTCTCTTTCTCCTCTCTTCCCCTCTCTTTAAAAATAAATTAAAATCTTTAAAAAATTCTTCCAGCACCTGTGGGCACCTGTGGGGTGGGTGGCGGGGAATGAGGAGAAACTTGGCAGGGAGACCATTCAGGAGGTTGTGGCAGTAGTTAGGATGAAGGGACCTAAAATAGGACGGACGAAATGTTCGGAGACATGATGATCTGTGCTCAGGGAATTGTCAGAAAGGGCGAGGGACAAGAGAGGTGAAGTGAAGAGTAATTCCCAGCTTTGGGATTTGGGGGTTGGGTGGAGGAGAGAGGTGGAGGCTGAGAGGAAGCCTGGGTCCTCTCTTGCCCACTCCCAGGGGCCCCCCTTCTTTCATATGAACAGTTGACTGACATTTTCTCATTGTTTTCTAAATTTCCAAGCAAGATGCGTCTCCAGGAGCCCTTTTTGCAGAGATTACCGTACCAAAGCCTCCTCCGTGGTTGGAATCTGGGTCCTACTGTGCGCGTTTGTGCACGTGCACCCAGTTGAAATTTGGCGGCCAGGATTATAATATACGGACGAAGGAACACGTTGAGGTTGGATGCAGAATTTCTTTAAGTTTGAAATTGTTACTAAGATTAGGTTGCAGAAATGGAATTATGACTTCAACTTTGTTACGGGAAATAATTTGTGCAGTAAATACCGAGCATTTACTATGTGTCAGATTGTTTCTTTTCCATTGGGGATGCAGCAGACTACAGCACAGACTAGGTCTGCGTCTTCACAGAGCGGGCGGGGGAGGCGCAACAAACATATATACTTTCAGACAGTGATGAGTACCACGCAGAAAAAAAGGCAAGGGAGTAGAGAGTGATGGGGAAGGAAGGGGAGCCGACGGGATGGAGAGCTAATTCGGGGGTGTTCAGGATATTTGAGCAGAGACCTCAAGTTAGGGAAGGCAGTTAAAAACTAAGTTACCACCCTTGACGGGGGCGGGGGTGAGCTGGGGAGGGATAGAAGCAACACACAGAAGACATTAAATTTGAGATGTCAGGCATGTGTGTGGAGACGCTGAGAATGTGGATGGATGTCCAGGCCTACAGTTTAGAGGCGGAGATAAGAATTTGAGTGGGGACAGTCCATTTCCTGGCTTCAGTTACATTAGAGTTCACTGTGTGCCAGGTACTAGGGGTTGGAACGCAGAGATAAATAAATCTGTCCGAAGATCAGAGACCAGAGCCCGTGGTCTTGCTCTCCCGTGGGCTCTGTCCGCTGGCACAGACGCAGCAGCGAGAGGGGACAGAAGAAGGAAGGGCAGGGGGTGGTGACCGCGGAGCTGGGGCAGGCGAGCCCGAAGCGTGACGTGTGGGGCGCGTCACAGTGACAGCATTGTGCGCCGGTGACGCAGGCGCAGGGCTGGATGGTCCCGCCCACAGAGGGCCGGGAGGCGGAGCAGCGGCTCCACCGTGACCGAGCGGCGCCCCCTGCAGGCCGCAGGCGGCGACACAGCGGTATCCTCTCCTTTCTTCTCCCGCTTCCGCCCTCCTTAGGCCACACTTTTTTGGTTGTGGTAGTAGTTTCCGGGTCTAAGCCTCCAACTCCCGTCCGTCCCCACCTCTTCCAGGCTGGGCGTGTCGGTGTCGCCGCGCGACGAGTGCTAATAAAGTTTTTGTTTCCTTCTCTCTCTCAGGCTCCCCGACCCTCCTCAAGTACCGCGAGATCTCGCGGTGCGGCTACCATGGCGGCGGCGTTTGAAGCTGCAGCAACCTTAGCAGTTGAGGAGACCGCTGTTCCCGCGGAGCATGTGGCCGCACCGGTGTCGGAGCCCACCCCCGGGCCGGTGCGGAGCCTACGGATGGCCCACGACATCAATGGCCCGCGGACCCGCACGGGGGACGTGCTGCTGGCGGAGCCCGCGGACTTCGAGTCGCTGCTGCTGTCGCGGCCGGTGCTGGAGGGTCTGCGGGCGGCCGGCTTCGACCGACCCTCGCCGGTGCAGCTTAAGGCCATCCCGCTGGGGCGCTGCGGGCTCGGTGAGGGCGGGGACCCCGGAGAGGCCGAGGGGGACCGACGGGCGGCGGCGGCGTGGTCTGGGGGAGTCCCGGGTCGGCGGCCTGTGCAGGGCTAGGCCGGGGGCTCAGCGCTGCACGCGTTTGAGCCCCAGCTCCCTCTTTTGTAAAACAGCTTGAAGTACTGAGTTTAAACATAGTTAAGGATCTTTCCACACGTGCTGGTGGTTCTAAGTTAGAGAAGATAAACGGCAGAGGTTCAGGGGCGAGGCACGTTTCTGGGTGTGGCCATGCGTTTTTAAGAGTTAACTGAAAATGGAGGAGCCAAGTAGGTGATTTGTGGAGACTCTATTAATAGGTCTGTGATTCATGTTTGGTGCCTAAGCATCTTCAGTCAGTGCTGTCTAGTGATAACTTTTGTTTTCCGTTGCAGATTTAATTGTTCAAGCCAAGTCTGGCACGGGGAAAACCTGTGTATTCTCCACCATTGCTTTGGATTCTCTTGTTCTTGAAAACTTAAGCACCCAGGTGAGTTTAGCTCAGAGGGAACACCCAGAGGAGGGTGCGTCAGGGGAACTTTATCACAAATAGAATGAAATACCTGTAGTTCCTCAGAGATAGTGTGGATTTGATGAATGAATCAGTTAAGCCACGTGCAAAGTGTAGAATAGAAGACAGACATCAGGCCATTGAGTGGCGGTGTGGTTGGTGACCAAGTACGAATTACTAGTGTTAGAAGCTTGGAGTTTTCTGTTATTACTGCATCTTAAATAGAATGCTGTGTGTGTTAGTGTGGTCGTTACTTGAGAATACAGATTGAGATTCTGTTTTACTTGCTGATCACACAGTGGTGAGATGGAGCGTTTGTCCCGATTCAGGGCAGCCTCATGTTCCCGGCTATTCTTGGTCACTGCAGCTGGTTCTTAGCGCTCCCTGAAAAGTGTCATTGGTCTCCCATCTAGGTTCTTGGGAGTAGGTCTCAGGTGGCCTTACTCAAGATAACAGGAAACTTGGCTTTGGGGACCATTTCTTCAGCGAAGGTTTGTTGAGCCCACAGTGTTAACAGTTTGCCAGGCTTTGGGAATACAAAGATGACTCAGATATGCTTGTCACAGTCTTACCTTGGGGTTAGTGGTTAGGACCCGCTGTGGGCCATGTTCCCGGTTGTGTATCTCAATGATGGCTCTGCAACAGCCGTTTTTAGTCCCGAAACCCGAGTTCCGTGTCTGTGGAGCTTTTTGAGTCCTACCTTATACCCACCAAATCCTGGGTGATGCTGCCCTCGGGAAATCTTTTTACTACCCAAGGACCTGGGCTATTCTACTTGTGAATTGGGATGTATTTCAGATATTGGCTTCTGATAATTTGGCAGTTGGGCAACTGTCAAAACCCTGAGTAAGTCCCATAAAATACAATTTGTATTTTTTAAACATTTAAGATTTTTGTGTTATCCAAGTAACACATAGTTCATTTTTGAAAATTGGGAAAATTCAGAAAAATTAAGAAGGACCAGAACACAAAGTATAATCTCACCTATCCGAAGAGAAAGTGCTGGTAACATTTTGGGCATAGTTTCTCCTGGTCTTTTATTTGTTAAGTGTTTTTTTCTTAAGATTTTATTTGTTTATTTTTAGATAGGGGGAAGGGAGGAAGAAAGGGAGAGAAACATTAGTGTGTGGTTGCCTCTGGAGCACTTCGCACTGGGGACCTCTCCTGCAACCCAGGCATGTGCTTGACTAGGAATTGAACCTGTGACCCTTTGGTTCGCAGGCTGGCACTCAACCCACTGAGCCACACCAGCCAGGGCAGTTTTTTCTTTTCATAATTGAGACCATGCAGTTTTGCCACTGCCTCCTCCTCCTCCTCCAGCAGCTTTATTGCGGTGCTGTTATTGTGAGTTGCAGAGTCTTCTACCACCTGCCCCCGCAGCTGGGCCTCTGACCCTTCCCTGTGCTTCTGTCCAGCCGCACGGGCCTCCCTGCTGGCCCTCCAGTCAGACACACCAAGCACAGTGTTGTTCTCAGGTCTTTGTGTTTGCTGTTGCCTCTTCCTGAAAATACTTCCCCGAGGGTCACATGACCAACTCTTCTCCGGAATGTACATCTGGGCATCTGCTCAAACGTTAGAGGGGCCTTCTGCGATCGCCCTGTTTAAAATGACTCCTTTTGTTGCTTCTTCCTCTCTTCCCTGTTTGATATTTCTTCATAGCACTTTTAATTCCCTGCCGTTATTCATGCGTTTGTTTATTGGATGTCTTCTCATCGTTCAAGAAGGGAAAGTGCCTTTAGAGCGAGGCGAGGATTCTGTGCGGGGACTGCGGGCTCCGCAGCGGCTGTATGCTGCGTGGCACACAGTGGGTTCGAATTTAATGTTTGTGGAATGAACAGTGATCGCTCGAGGGAAAAACAGTTCATGATGCAACGTGCCACTCACATGTACGTGGTTTTTTTGTTTTCATTTTTTTAAATTTTTTTATTGATTATGCTGTTACAGTTGTTCTATTCCCCCTTTCATTCCCCTCCACCCTACCCCCATCCCCACCATTACCCCCCCTTTAGTTTATGATCATGTGTCTCAAGTCCTTTAGATTCTATATTTCCCATGCTATTCTTGCCCCCCATCTATTTTCTATCTACTGTCTATGCTACTTATTTTCTGTACCTTCTCCCCCCTTCTCCTCCCACTCCCCTGTTGCTAACCCTCCTTGAGATCTTCATTTCTATGTTTCCACTCCTGATCTAGCTGTCCTTTTAGTTTGCTTTTGTTTTAGGTGTGGTTGTTAATAACTGTGAGTTTGTTGTCCTTTCACTGTTCATGTTTCTTTACCTTCTTTTTCTTAGATAAGTCCCTTTAACATTTCATATAATAAGGGCTTGGTGATGATGAACTCCTTGAATTTGATCTTATTTGAGAAGCACCTTATCTGTCCTTCCATTCTAAATGAAAGTTTTGCTGGATAGAGCAATCTTGGTTGTAGGTCTTTGGATTTCATGATATGGAATACCTCTTTCCAGCCCCTTCTTGCCTGTAAGGTCTCTTTTGAGAAATCTGCTGACAGTCTGATGGGGACTCCTTTGTAGGTGACTGTCCCCTTAGCTCTTGCTGCTTCTAGGATTCTCTCCTTCATTTTAATTTTGGCTAATGTAATTATGATGTGCCTTGGTGTGTTCCTTCTTGGGTCCAACTTCTTTGGTACTCTCTGAGCTTCCTGGATTTCCTGGAAGTCTATTTCCTTTGCCAGATTGGGGAAATTCTCCTTTATTATTTGTTCAAATAAGTTTTCCACTGGTGGCTGTGCCTTTCCCCCTTCTGGTACCCCTGTAATTCGGATGTTGGAGCGTTTAAAGATGTCCTGGAGGTTCCTAAGACTCTCCTCATTTCTTTGAATTCTTGCTTCTTCACTCTTTTCTGTTTGGCCATTATTTGCTTTCTTCTGGTCCACTCCATTGATTTGAGTCCCAGTTTCCTTTTCATTGCTATTGGTGTCCTGTGCAGTTCCATTCATTTCAATTAGTTTCGCCTTCATATATTTGTCTAATTTGTCGGTATAATCAACCAGTTCTGTGAGGATCATGATGACCAGTGTTTTAAACTGTGCGTCTGAGAGTTTTGCTATTTCTTCATCGCTTAGATCTATGGGCTCTGGGGCTTTGAGATCTCCTTGCGACATTTTTTGGTCTGTTCTGGCCCTTTAAGTGTGAGAAGCGGTGCCTTGGACTCCCAGGTGGCTGGGTTGTGACGCTGGATGTGGGGGCGTGGTCAGAGCGGGGAAATGGCGGCCCCCTCTGCTGTTTCTCACAGCTGGGAGAGGATCAGCGCATTAGGTGGTTCACCTGGGCCGGGCCACTCAGAGTCACTGGGTTATGATGCTGCATGTGGAGGTGGGGTCAGAGCAGGGAAATGGCGGTGCCCTCCACTGCCGTTTGCCGTGGGGACCCGCCTTGCCCCTGTCCAGCCGTCCACTCCCTCGCCTGTCCGCCTGCGCACAAATGCGCGACCACAGTCAACACGCAGCACCGCTCCCCCGCTGTCTCCCCCACGGTCGCTCGCCTGGTTGCTCGCTCGGTCGCTCACTAGGTCCAACCCTGTGCCTGGATTCCGCGCGTCTGGATTCTGCGCGCTTGAGTCCGTCTGACTGAGACCTCCTGTGCAACCCCGCTTCACCAGTCGCTGGTTTCGCCCCTTACCGGTCAGGCTGAAGAATTTGTTGTTAACGGACTTCCGAAAAGTTCAATTTTCCGTGTTCTGGCTGTGTTTTCTGTTGCTAATATTTAGTTGTCTCTAAACTTGGTTGTGTGAGAAGGCACGGCACATGCACCTATGCCTCCATCTTGGCGGAAGTCACATGTACGCATTTTGCTGACGCGTGAATGTATTTTGCATTTTCTTAGATTTTGATCTTGGCTCCCACGAGAGAAATCGCTGTGCAGATCCATTCTGTGATCACCACTATCGGAGTAAAGATGGAAGGTTTAGAGTGCCATGTCTTCATTGGAGGGACTCCACTATCTCAGGACAAAACCAGACTTAAAAAGTGTCATATTGCTGTCGGATCTCCTGGTAAGACATCGGTGCCTTCCTAACGGAGCTTTTGGGAACTGAGCGCCTTTAACGCAACAGTAACATCGGACTTCGGTAACTGATACTCGTCTTGACGACTGTGAAGGGAGAGCCTTAGACCCTTGAGAAGCAGACCGTGTGACTGGAGCACTAACAGAATTACGCACTCTCCCTTTCTGAGGACGTTTAGGAACACGTCTGGGTCAGGCTGCGGAGCAGAGGGGAGCGAGGTGGCTTGCAGGAAGCCCATGGGTTAGGGTTTAATCACTCAGGCACGAGTCACTCAGGATTGGGTGCCAGCATGTAGCGTCTTGGCCGTTCAGGGCTTCTGATGGGGATTGTGTCCTTTATACTTGCTGGTGACGAAAGTTGAGGGGAAAATAAGGGTCTTAGGCAGGCTCAGGGCTCAGAGCTTCTAATTTGTGCTTTGGTGCGTGAGTGAATGCAGCCTGGGTCAGGAAAGTCAGCCGTACGACCTTTAAATAGAATGACATGGGTTGGGACTTGCACGAATTTGGTGCATCATAAGCATTTCAACTTTTTTTCTTGAAATTTAGGCAGAATTAAACAACTGCTGGAACTTGACTGCTTGAACCCAGGCAGTATACGCCTCTTTATTTTGGACGAAGCAGATAAGCTTTTAGAAGAAGGCAGCTTCCAGGAGCAAATAAAGTAAGAAAAACACCTGGCTCGACTATTAGAACGGTGCCCACAGTTGTCCGCCTTTGGCTTTTCCAGGTGGGGGTTATTGTCGGAACAAGCTTCCATGGCGTCACCTGTTTTCTGTTTTGCAGTTGGATTTACTCTTCCTTGCCTGCCAGTAAGCAGATGGTGGCCGTGTCGGCTACGTACCCGGAATTTCTGGCTAATGCTTTGGCAAGGTACATGAGAGACCCCACTTTTGTGAGACTGAACTCCAGTGACCCGAGTCTCCTAGGTGTGTATAGGTACTGGGTGCGTATGTTACTGGCTTGTGCTGCTTGGGAACTTCCGTATAGGCTGTCAGGAGATGGCAGGTGCGTTTGTCTAACAGGAGACCCTGCCCCACAGGTTTGAAGCAGTACTTCGCAGTTGTCAGTTCGTACCCTTTGGCCCATCAGATTTTTGAGGAAAAGGCTCAGCATCTGCAGGAACTGTTCAGCAGAATTCCGTTTAATCAAGCCTTAGTCTTTTCTAATTTGCACAGCAGGTAACGTGCCTTAAAAGGTCATCTGGGGGGACTTGGGAAGTAAAAGGGTAGGCGTGGGGCAGTGTCTGAAGTCACAACCCTTGGTTGCTTTTCACAGAGCGAAGCATTTGGCTGACATCCTTTCTTCGAAGGGCTTTCCCGCGGAGTGCATTTCAGGTGAGTCATCTTACTTTAATCCTTGTTCGGCGCCCTGGCTTGAAGCCTCTCTTGGGTCACAAGGAAGAACTGCCCTTTTGTGAGTGGTCTTTTCGGGGAGAGGGTGTGCTGAGTCGTCAGAGTAAAGAGAACTTCAGGTTCATTTCTTGTTGGGATTTGATGGATTAGTGTCTTTGTTTTATGAAGCAGGAACTTTGTATATTGAGAAAAATTAGAAAACTGGAGTTATATCCTCAAAGTTCGTTTTTGTTATTGTTAAAATGTTAAGAATTGCTACCTAAACTGTTTTATGGCCTTGTGGAAGGTAAAAGTGACTCATCTGGACACAAAGCTAAATTATTACTCCTGGCCTAGTAGGAATAAAAACTTGCAAGGAATTTTTTTTCACGATTTTATTTATTTATGTTTAGAAAGTGGAGAAGGGAGGGAGAGAGGGAAACACCAATGTGTGGTTACCTCCTGTGCGCCCCCTACTGGGGACCTGGCCCACAGTCCAGGCATGTGTCCTGACTGGTCATCAAACCGGTGACCCTTTGGTTCACAGGCGGGCACTCAATCCCTTGATTTTGTGCCCACGAGCCGGGGCGCTTTCAAGGAATTTTTTTTTTATTATTTTTTATTTTTATTTTTTATTTATTTTTTAAATTGATTATGCTGTTACAGTTGTTCTATTCCCCCCTTCATTCCCCTCCACCCTGCCCCCCATCCCCACCATTACCCCCCTTTAGTTTATGTCCATGTGTCTCAAGTCCTTTAGGTTCTATATTTCCCATGCTATTCTTGCCCCCCCCCATCTATTTTCTATCTACTGTCTATGCTACTTATTTTCTGTACCTTCTCCCCCCATCTCCTCCTCCCACTCCCCTGTTGCTAACCCTCCTTGAGATCTTCATTTCTATGTTTCCACTCCTGATCTAGCTGTCCTTTTAGTTTGCTTTTGTTTTAGGTGTGGTTGTTAATAACTGTGAGCTTGTTGTTCTTTCACTGTTCATGTTTCTTTACCTTCTTTTTCTTAAATAAGTCCCTTTAACATTTCATATAATAAGGGCTTGGTGATGATGAACTCCTTGAATTTGATCTTATCTGAGAAGCACTTTATCTGTCCTTCCATTCTAAATGAAAATTTTGCTGGATAGAGCAATCTTGGTTGTAGGTCTTTAGATTTCATGACTTGGAATATTTCTTTCCAGCCCCTTCTTGCCTGTAAGGTCTCTTTTGAGAAATCTGCTGACAGTCTGATGGGGACTCCTTTGTAGGTGACTGTCCCCTTAGCTCTTGCTGCTTCTAGGATTCTCTCCTTCATTTTAATTTTGGCTAATGTAATTATGATATGCCTTGGTGTGTTTCTTCTTGAGTCCAACTTTTTTGGTACTCTCTGAGCTTCTTGGATTTCCTGGAAGTCTATTTCCTTTGCCAGATTGGGGAAATTTTCTTTTATTATTTGTTCAAATAAGTTTTCCACTGGTGGTTGTGTCTTTTCCCCCTTCTGGTACCCCTATAATTCGGATGTTGGAGCGTTTAAAGATGTCCTGGAGGTTCCTAAGTCTCTCCTCATTTCTTTGAATTCTTGCTCCTTGACTCTTTTCTGTTTGGCCATTATTTGCTTTCTTCTGGTCCACTCCATTGATTTGAGACCCAGTTTCCTTTTCAACGCTATGGGTTTCCTGTGGAATTCCATTCATTTCCATTAGTTTAGCCTTCATATGTTTCTCTAATTTGTGGCTATAATCAACCAGATCTGTGAGGATCCTGATGACCAGTGTTTTAAACTGTGCGTCTGAGAGTTTTGCTATTTCTTCGTCGCTTAGATTTATCTCTGGGGCTTTGAGGTCTTCCTGCGACATTTTTGGTCTGTTCTGGCCCTTTAAATGTGAGAAGCGGCGCCTTGGACTCCCAGGTGGCTGGGTTGTGACGCTGTATGTGGGGGCGTGGTCAGAGCGGGGAAATGGCGGCGCCCTCTATGCCGCGGCCGGTCCAACCGCCCACTCCCCAGCCTGTCCGCTCGCCCGCAAATAGGCAACCGCAGTCAACACGCAGCACCGCCTCCCCACTGTCTCCTCTGCAGTCGCTCACCCGGTGGGTTGCTCGGTCGCTCACTAGGTCCAACCCTGCGTTTCGAACCCGTGCGTCTGGATTCCGCGCTCGGGTCCGACCCAGTCCTCCTGTGCAACCCCTCACGAGACGCCGGTTTCGCCCCTTACCGGTCGGGCTGAAGAATTTGTTGTTAATGGACTTCCGAAAAGTTCAATTTTCCGTGTTCTGGTTGTGTTTTCTGATGCTAATATTTAGTTGTCCCTAAACTTGGTTGTGTGAGAAGGCACGGCACATCCACCTATACCTCCATCTTGGCGGAAGTCCTCAAGGAATTTTTGATCAGTGAGATCCTTTTTAGAGTCTTGGTGGATAGCACAGCTTTGCCTTCAACCTGTCAGTTCCGTCTTGGTGTATCATGGGTGCTGGGAGACTATTTTGTGAGGGACCAGTACTTTGACTGTAGACAGACTTCAACACTAAATTTATAAAGTTAATTAAAGCACTTTTAATTGTTATACTTCATATATAAGTTGCAAATATAATGTATCTACACAATTTAAAATTGGTCTTTTAATTTTCAGTGGATTGCCTGACCATGTTTTAAAAGGTTCTGACAGTTAGTCCTAACCTAGATCTACGTGTGAGGACCGCATTCCCTTTGGTTTGCACATCGTTAGGTTGGGAAGACGGGGGCTCTGGTTCCTGCTTTTTTGTGGGTTTGACGAGTGTTCCTCTGGTCTCCAGGCAACATGAATCAGAACCAGCGCCTTGATGCCATGGCCAAGCTGAAGCAGTTTCATTGCAGAGTCCTCATTTCCACAGACCTGGTACGTTCCCTCTTCATGCGGGTGACTGGTACCTCCTGGCGTATGTTCTGTTGGCAGATGCTCAGCTTTCACCTGTCGTTTTATGTGGGTGCACCTGCTGGGAACACCAGCAGTTGATGGTCTTCCCAGTGGTGGGGAGTACACTTCTTAAAAGTGTCTTTAGTATCTTCACCTTCGTTTTTGAAAATAGTTATAGAGATGTAGAGATGAATTTCCTTCTCTTTCGCCCCTAAATATTCTCTCTCCTCCTAAACTCCTGTGCATCTTTAACCTGGCTCCTGGTCATACTCGGGTAAGGTAGTGAGTGCATTGGTGCCACACTGCAGTTCACGTTGCAGACAGACGTTGCTCTCTTTTAACTCAAGACTTCCCGAGGGATTGATGCCGAGAAGGTGAACCTGGTCGTCAATCTGGATGTGCCGCTGGACTGGGAGACGTACATGCACCGGATCGGCAGAGCCGGTCGTTTCGGTAAAGAGAAAAATTTACCTGCTTTGTTTAGGGGGACGAGTTTGGGACATGACACAGGTGGACTGGGGTGTCACTTACGGGAAAGTGATTTGCTGCTTAGCGCTCTGTCTGTGCTTTAGGGACTTTAGGCCTGGCGGTGACCTACTGCTGCCGGGGAGAAGAGGAGAATGTACTGATGAAAATTGCCCAGAAATGTAACATCCACCTTCTGCCTTTACCAAGTATGTGTGTCCGTTTCGTTTTGCGGTCAGGTTAATAATGGCGATGGTGACAGGCCGAGGGAAGATGACAGGGACCACAGACTGGTTGCGGTGTCTCGGGTACTGGCCCAGGTCCTGCACGTTTGTGACTCGGTCCTCACCACCGGCCGTGGGGCGTGTGCCGGCACCGTCCGCATTTTGGAGATGAGGGGACTGGGGCGGGGAGGCCGGGTGGTTTGCCTGAGCTCGCACAGCTCGTGGGGAGCGGGGAGGAGGCTGTGAGCTCACGTCTGGCACATGAGAAATGAAGAGTGAAGAATGCTTTCCCACGGTGTCAGCTCCGGGTTCGGTGTGCGGCCTTGCAGTTTGAGTTTATTCTTTTTTAAAGGGGGGTTCTTTTATGGCTTATGTCACCATAAAGGTGGTTCTTGCCATGTGCTCCTTTGTCACCATGAGAAAGGAAACATATTTTTAATCTGACCACACTTTTGAAAATTTTGAAGTGTTTTCAAAATTCAAAAGTGATTTTAGAGAATCATTTTTCACCCTGCTCTTTTTAAGTGACTTCTTGGTAACACTGTGTGTTTGAAACTATCAATGACGTCTTGAAAACAAAACCCTAAAAACCTCTTGTGTGAAAATATTTGTGATATGTGTTAATTCATAGATGTCAGTGTGTCTGTGTGTGCGTGCACACGGTCGTAAATGCGCACCTGTGTGGTATACCTGTGACCTAGGGAGTTACTGAGTGATTACAAGAACAAGTATTTTACCAATTTATACTAACTCCTTCAGTAATGTTTGTTTAAAGATTTTATTTATCTGTTTTTAGAGGGAGGGGAAGGGAGGGAGAGGGAGGGAGAAGGAGGGAGAGACACATCCATGTGAGAGATCGGTGGCCTCCCAGATGGGCCCCGACGGGGTGCCGAACCTGCAACCTGGGCTTGTGCCCTGACTGGGAATCGAACTGGTGACCTTTCGCTTGTGGGATGACGCCCAACCAACTGAGCCACCCTGGTCAGGACACTCCTTTAGTGATTTCATATGAGGCTGGATTAGGCACAGGTCTGGGCGTTTGTGGGTCTTAATAGCTTGTAATAATTCAGTGATTTTTTTTACTGATTTCGTTAATTGCTCTAAGCTTATGTCCTGATTTACAAAATACTTGTTTTCTGAAATCATTCAGAAATGCTGGTCCGGAGCAGCTCAAGAATGTCAGTCTTTCTCTGTTCCCGTTTTGTAGACCCCATCCCTCCGGGCCTGATGGAAGAGGGTTTGGATTGGGATGTGGAGGTTACAGCGGCTGTGCATACATACGGCTTCGCAGGCGCGCCCAGTGAGACCCTAACAGAGCAGATTCAGACAACGGAGCGAACCTCTCAGACCCGGAAAGCTCATGGTAACCACGTGGCTTCGTGTAGAAATACTTCCGTCTCTGCGCCTTCGGTCAAGTCAAAACCCACCAGCACACAGAAGCTCCCGGCGAGAAGCCACTCGGAGGGTGGACTCCGAGGAAAAGCAGCCTCGCCCCCGGCCCAGCGCCACGCTGTCCAGACGGAAGAGCAGAGGGAGAGTTCTGTTGGGACTGCCGTGGAGAACTGTGACGGTGGTCCGCACCAGGCCAAAGAGGACTTAGCGATGTCGCTCCCCCAGATTCCTTGTCTGTCTTCCTTTAAAACCCGCCCGCCACGCATGCTGACCTTTGCAGAGTTGGTAGAGGATTACGAACACTACGTTAAGGAAGGGTTAGAGAAACCTGTGGAAATCATCAGGCACTACACAGGTCCTGGGGATCAGACTGCGAACCCTCAAAACGGCTTTGTGAGAAGCCGGGTTACTGACGAGAGAGCCCAGGTGTTGGCAAGTAGCAGCCCGTCTGGAGAGTCCGAGAGCGACAGCGATTCTTACAGCTCACGGACTTCTTCCCAGAGCAAAGGGAACAAGTCGTGTGTGGGAGGCTCTTCTGATACTCAGCGGAAAGACTCGGCGTCCCCCCCTGCGGGGGACCGGGTCTCTTTGGAGCAACCTCTGAGTGGAAATGACGCCCCTAATCCGGGAGGGTATCAGGGGTCACCTGCAATCCAGATGAAGGCAAGGCGTGCCGAGGGGGCTACCCAGAGAGCCAAGCAGGGCCGGAGAAGCCAGGCGAGGCGGCCTTCCTATCGGTCGCAGGCGGAACCCCAGGAGGAGGAGTGGTGTGACCGCCAGGGCGAGAGCCACACGGGTTTTCCCGGCACCTACCAGGACTACGAGGAGTACTGGAAGGCCTACTACCGGGCGTGGCACGACTACTACGCGGCTGCCTCTCAGTCCTATTACTGGGACGCACAGAGGCATCCGGGCTGGATGGCGGCCTATCACATGAACACCGTTTATCTGCAGGAGATGATGCGTGGCCACCAGTGACGCGGGCCGCGCCTGCAGGTGCCGCTGAGCGGGACCCTGGGTAACCGTCCTCTGACCTGCAGGAGGGTGGCGTGGAGGAACTTGAAACGTCTTAAGGCTTTTTGCTGAGATACAGCTATTTTTCAGATTGTTTTGACCTACCACGTGTATTACCTATTTTTAAGAAACTTCATGGATCAGATTCTTGAGGGAAGTATTTTGGGACGAAGCTAAAGATGCCAGGGTGCCATCTTCTATTAGCTGTTCCACACAGAGACATTTGAAAAGACTTATATTACTTACTGCTTAGTTAAAAAAATAAAGAGTTGAGATTTGAAAAATGTTTGCATATGCTACGGAGTTCTTTACAGAAGGCCCGGGCTGCGGGTTCGCAGGGACATTCGTCCTCGGAGAAGCCTGTGACGCGGTGGGTCAGGAAGCCCCTGCGAGGGTTGGCAGGAGGAGCGAATGTTGCGTCAGACCGTCCCAAAGGCACTTGATTCGATGCTCTTTGCTTCCAGTAAAAAAACAAACCAGCCAGATGTGTTCACATACTGTTCATCTTCTGACCGTCTCGTTTTTAGGGTTATGAACGCTGCCCACATTGCCATGGTGCAGCAAACAGCTAAGCTGCTGTTTTTGATTCTCAGGAAAAGGGGCAGCTCCTAAAAGAGTTTTGGGATCTTTTTATGCACCTGCTGAAAGCTATAGATTTGTCCCAGAAAATGTCTGTAAACAAGAACCAGATATATGTTAACCCTGGGTAGGGGCTGCCCAGCCTGCTGCCGGGCTAAGGAAGGTTCTAGCTCCTTTGTTAAGTACTTGGTGGAAGCTGGAACTCCATCTGTTCAAACTCGCCACCGCATGTCCTAATCTTGTGTCTTCTAGAGATTTTTCCCCAGTTTTTACCTCTAGTACTAAGGTCCTAGGGGACAGTCGTTTTTCTGAGATGGTGTTACCGGTAACTTGCCATTTAGAAAAATGTAATCTGGAAGTTAGTTACTCTTCATTTCTTCTCCGAGGCAGGCAGCCCTTCCTGATTGCACATGTGGTTTGCAGACCGTTCTGCGCGCTTTGTGACGAGATTCCTGTGTGTGTGCAGATAAGCGTTCCGTTTGGAAGAGGAAAGCTCCTGTCTCCGTGTGCACGCTGGTCAAGGTGGTTTGACTGCTGTCCCTTGGGGCTGGGAGTGAACATCCAAGGCCATTGCTCTTCACGGTCCAGCACTCACAGGACACAGCCCTGAACTTCTGATCTGGGTTCCTGTCCATCGTGATGGCCAATGGTAGGGTCCCCTTACCCAGATGGGTGTTGCCAAATTAGAGCGGGTTAATTAACACGAAATAGCAAATCCACAATTAGGTCCAATGTGTTATTAAGAAGTGGAGTCTTTAATTACGCATTTAAACAAAGTCCCGTCACTGTGTAATTGCCGTGCCCCTCTCTACCCTTTCCCCTTAATGCAGGCAAGTTCACGGTTTGTCACAGCTAGGGGACTCTAATTAGGGTGCTGCTGCCTCTTAATTAGAAATGAGGTTACCCGTTAGTCTTGAAATTAATTGGATTCTTTCTTTAGGTTTGTTATACTTTGTGTTTGCTCCTTTTTTTTTAATAGAAAAATAAGCTGGAGGTGAGCGTATACATAAATAAAAACACTACTTGTTTCATTTTCCATGAGCATTTGCCAGGGAAATGTCAGCTGTGACCTCCCTCCGTGAGGGATGCAGGGATGAGGGTGGCAGGAATCTGTTTGCAGAGAAGACTGTCTGGTTCCCGGTCGTCCTGGGTGCACTTCCCTGCCACCTGTTAGGGACCACAGAGAGGTTTCAGGCAAACCCACTGGAGAACGCTTTGCGGTGTGGGGGGGAGAGTGCTTGTCCCGGGGCTGCCCCCCGTTTACGTATAGCGGTCACTTAGCCTCTCAGGGTCCTGATTCGCATTGATACAGTGAGGGAGCTGGACTAGGAGATTTTCTGGCTAGGGAAAAGGATTGTTATTTCATTAATACAGAGTTTCATAAATCCAGGAAACGTGTGTGGAATGGGCTAAATGCCTGAATTCCAGAACACTAGGTGAGCACACCGACCAGCACCGGTCCACTTGAGCTTAACTGAACTTATTGTGGAGAGAAGTCTTTGGAAAACTGTTGCTTTGGATAATTCTGGCTTGGAAATAGATGTAAACTGTGATTTGGGGTAATTTTAAAGCATTATTTTCTAAAGTAGTTTAAGTATCGCGGTACAGTTTACTAACCTTTCAAAAACACATGGTTTAAAGGTAAAAGTCTGCCCCCTAAATACTAAAAAAAATAAGAGGAATTCTAGTACTTGGGGATCAACTTCTATGAGACAAGGGAGTAGTTTGAAATTTTTAGGTTTTTTTCTTCACCCAAATGTAAATAAGCCTGTTAATCGTAAAAGATAAACTACTTTTGATAGTCACAGCTGACCTGGGAACCGGTCCCAGGGAAGGAGACCAGAGTATGTTTACTAATAGTTTTGTGCCTCAGGTAATGCAGCTGCAGGGCTTTGAAAAGCACCTCTGGTTTCCTTACCTTGCTCCAGGTGGTTGGCACTGTGGGTCTGTAGTGACACCTAGTGGGTGATGAGGGTAAGAGCATCGTGAGTGAAATGAACTCCACAGCCAACTGCTGGGGCCTCTGGGTGTCAGACGTGTGCCCCAGTGTCCCATTTCCACTGCACTCTTCTTTGACTGGGATCTGGTGTTGTGGGGAGTTAAAAGGATGCCCATTGTCACCACGTGGTGGGGACGTGAAAACGCCAGTTGCTCTCTCTGCCTGATTCAAAATCACTAAGGTGACATGATCTTCAAGATCCCTCATCCGGTTCCCCCACATTTAAGACAAAGCAGCAAAGGGAAGCCCAGAGAAAAGTGCCTGCCCCGCCGGGGTCATGTCAGTAGGTGACGATGGCGCCTGAGCCCCCGTCACTTGTTCCCAAGCTCTCCGCCCTGCCCTCTGGTTCAGTGCGCGCTCCTTTCCAGTTTGAGGCCTTGGCTTAGAGGGAGGAATATAGCACATTCCGTGCGCTCTTAGCAGAACCAGGGCTGACACACGAAGGCAGGGTTTCTTTAACAGGGCTGGGCCTCGACGTACAGCTGCTGCTGACCAGCACCCAGATGCCTTCCTGTTGGTGAGCATCGTGAGGCCAGCACGCAGGCAGGTGAGAATGGTTCCGGAGGCGGGGGGGGCGGCCACGTGGAGGGAGGGCGGGGGGAGGGGTTGGGCTGGACACTTAAGCACCTACCGAGGCTCTGCAACTTTCTAAAAACTGTTCTTTCCATTACAGTTGACACACATTGTATTAGCTTCAGGTACTCTCGACTTTTTTTTCTAGCAAGGTGGAAAGCCTCCCTTTGTTCAAATTACCCTGATTTCTAGTGTGTAGCAGGAGAATTGGCATGAAAATAAACATCATCATTTTAGGGTTTGTGGCACATAGTTTAATCCAGATTGGATACATCCGTACAGCGGTGGCACGTGACTCGATACTGTAAATGATACACATTTTAACATACGCACTACAGTTGCAAAAGAAGACGACGGGAAACCCAAGAGTTGTTTTTTTTTTCCACGGAAAGTTTGCATGTTTATCTTCCTGCAGTTTTATACAGTATTCTTTGCCATTGTGATGTCGGAAAGCAAAGCCCGTTTATTATATGAAAATAGAAAAGAACACACTTGATGTTTTTCACGATAACATTAGTGGGGGAGTGACCTCTAAGGAGAACATTACATTGGAATGTCTGGTTATCAAAAATATACCATCCCTCCCGCCTCCCAGGTTTGTAAAATAGTCTGTCGGTCCAAGGAGCCCCCCAGGACTTGGGCTAGCGCCCCACACTGGTTGGGGTGACAGCGTCCAGTGCAGTGAAGTGACCTGCCAAGACAGATGTCGTCCCCACACTTGATGAGAGAAACAGAACACTCCGAAGAGGAAACAAGACTCGACAGGAACCTCGTTAAAGCCGTCTCTTCGCCAACAACCACTTCCTCTCGGTTCTGGTGATGCTGTTTGGGCTCCAAGGGTCACGGCCATAACAACGTTCTTCCTTCATCCGGTCATTTTGAAACTCTGCAAGTGATGCCATCTCACAAGGGAATCAAAGGGAAAACAAAAGTCTTCCCGGTTCCCATTTGTCATGGTTACCATGCCAACTAGTTTAGAAGAGCAACTAATATTGCCTTAGTGACCTAAGATCCCAGCATTGGGTTCTTTCTGCCTTGTGGTTCTTGGTAATTGAAGCGAGGGCGTCTGGACCACCGGGATGCATCCATAACCTTGAGCTCAATGGTGACGGTGACCTCAGCAGTTTAAAAAAGGAGAACGGAAAACGTCCAGGTCCGTGTGTCAGTGTGCGCTTTCCCTGTCTATGTCTGGTAAGTGGCATGATCCTGAACAGCAGGCCCCACAGTGTAAAAACTGGGTCAGGTCCTCGGCACCCCTGCGGATGGGCTTTGTGGTAATACAGGTCAGCATGAACCGTCCACTTGACTTTCTGTTCAGATTATTTTTCTTAACTTCGCTTTTCTGTTTGCTGGTCTTACCCTCCTGTGGGGCTGCGGACTGATGTGTTCAACTGGCATTAGAATCCTGTCCGGCCTCCCGGACAGGATTCTCTGCAGTTAGTCCCGAGCTCAACACGCATCATGAAAAGAGACGAGAACGGAATCGTCCAGAGTGTGTTCCTGGGCACTCTGACGCGGGCCTTTCTGAACGGAAGGCTGCCTTCCTTGGTCAGCACCCTTGGCATCCAGGCGTTCAAAACAGAAGCCAGTCCCAGAGTGCCGTGGTGTGCAGCGGGAGAAAATCCCCAGGACATGCTGTCTACACCGAGGGTCCTAGTTCTGCCCGTGAATTTGGAGAAGTCACTCGGCTTCTCCCCGCCTGCTTCCTCGCTGTCAGTCAAGGACCTAGTGTCTTGTCCTGCTGCCGCCAGAGTCTCTAGTGAGGATCATACAGAAGGTGCGCTTTGAAACGGCGTCCGAGCCCTCTCTCCATTGAGAGGGCTGACTGCTCACCCGCTCACCTCTTCTTGACAGTTGGGGGCCAGTTCTGCGCGGGGAATGGCGGCTTCCAGGGGGCAGCTTGTGACACAGCCGGGTGGTTTCCGAGGGCTGCGTCCGAGCAGGAGTGACGCGCGCCTACGACTAGGTGTCTGGTGGCAGCATGTGTTCTTTGACGGGTCTTCTCTGAAGCCTGGTGATTCTGAGGGGCAGCGGGAAAAGCGCCAGACTAATAGCCAAGGGACATGCGTTCTGGTCCCAGCTCTGTCGTGAAACGACTGCCTGACCTTGAGCAAGTCGCTTCATTCCTCTGGGTCGCAGCTTTCTGCACTGTCCACTGTTGCAGAGGTTCTTCAGTGTCTTCTGGTTCAGATACTCTTAACTCTTTAGTTCCTACGTTCCCATTCATCTGAATGTAGCCTAATCGTTCTGTTTTTTTTTTTTTTTTTAACTCCCTCTAATGCTGAGTGGGATCGAATGATGCAGGTGGCTTTGGGAATCTTCTGCTATGTGGAAGTGGTTGATAAACTATGCAAGCTCAAGGCCATTGCCCAGAAGACCGTGCGAGCAGGTTCTTCCGCCACTGGCCGGTGAGTGCGACGGACTAAATCGACCCTTGTGTGTACCTCCGCGTGCAGCGCGCACTCCGTCTGCTGGATCCTGTTTGTGTTCGAGCCACTTTCCCGGGCTGACCTTTCACCCCAGAGGCGAGCTGGGTCTCCTGCGCCTGGCTGAGGCTGCGCTGTGGGGTGGAGGTGCAGGGGAAAGTCTAACGGGCTTTTTAGGAACTGTCATAATGTGGGACTCAGAAATGGAGCCAGAGGAACACAAAACATTGAGTTCCTTAGGGTCAAAAAGTGGAAAATTCCCTGGGACGTGATTATTAAAATGTGTTCACTGGTTTTGGGGGGCCGCTGTGCTCCCCTGGTGCACAGTCAGACGCGTCTCTGCGATGGGTCAGCTGTCACCCCCGGGTCGCCTGCTTGTGTGCGGCAGTGGCCGTGTCCCCACCCGCCTCCGTCCCTCACCCCACTCAGTTCCGAGGATGTGAACTTAGAGACCTAGACACTCCTTGCTCGGCTCCATTACTCATTCTCTCCCAGAAAAACTTTTCTGGGCCTTTGCCTGCCGGCTGACCAGGGCCCAGCCCGGTCCTCTGCCTCCCCCGACGCGAATGAGCGAATGGGTATAAGTGCTTGTTCTTGGGCGTGTGCAGGTTGTGTGGCCCACGCGTGTTCCTCTGTGGCTGTTAAGCTTTTCCACCCACTTGCGCCCTAAGCCTGGAGGGCCAGCGCCCCCCTGTCCCCATGTCAGGGAACTCCTTGAAGCCAGACCCAGAGAGAGGGCTTGGGCGAGCCCAGTGAGGACAGCAAAGGAGATCTGGGGGCAGGTGCCCCCTCCTCCACACTCTGCGAGCCTTCCAGTTGGGTGCCCCTCGTAACCTCTGGACTTGCCTCTTGCATGGGGTCAGCAGAGCTGGAGTCACAGGGCAGCCCCCTGAAGAGGTGCTTGGCTTCCCAGCTGGCGCCCTCCTCTGGACGGCAGGGCAGCGGGCAGAGCGTTCCTGGCCCACAGTTACAGGTCTACCCCCCACTGGGGAGAGTGCTACAGGGCAGTGGGGACAGGGCGAGGGAAGGGGCTTGACACTCACCCCGAGGCCCCCTGCTCCCCTATCAGCAGTGAAAATCCCCTTGCACCAGGGTGCGAGCCACCTGACCAGAAACACTGTCTAGGTCCTCAGAAAGAATATTCACTTGCTCACTTGTACGGGGTCATCAGGCTTCTCCCCACTTCAGTTACCCTCGGGGACGTCAGGCCTGAAGACTTCAGACCTCCAGTCCAGCACGCCCGTCCAGCATCTCTCGCCTGCCTGCTTCTGCGCGGCCCTCGTGAGGCTCCCAGGCCTCTGTGCGGAGTTGCGCAGCGTGCAGTGAGGCAGAGCCTGGGCCACTGCCCTCTGCAGGACCACGCCGCCTCCCCTGCATGGCTCTGGGTGGGGCTCTGGGCAGAGCTCTGGGTGGGCTTGATGGTGGGAGCCACAGGGCCCGCGGCAGCGGTGAGCCTGGGGTCTTCCGTCCTCCCCACTGGCCCACACCCAGAGTGGGCTGGTTCCTTTTTCCAGATCCCCGTGTGACAAATCCAGGCATCCCCTCTTTAAGCTGGACGGGAGCAATGAGTTCTCTACGGGGTCTTCCCTCGGCCCCGAACCCTCCTGCTTGGCCTCATTCCCTTCTCTTCCACAGCTGCCTGTGCACCTACAGGACCTGCGTGCAGGAGGCCTCGCCGGTGCACCTCAGGGTCACGGGTCCGTGTGGAGACAGATGGCGGGACAGCTGACACACAGCCAGGGGCTGAAGCAGAACGGGACAGAGACGGGGGACACGCTGCTGTGCGGTCCCTTGGCAGCTCTGTGCAGGTCAGCAGGGTGGTGGGGGCCCAGGCTCAGACGACCTCACCCCCCCCAGGGGAATGGAGAGAGAATTCAGCAAAACCTGACTTCTTAGCCTAAAAGCTTTTGCTATAAAAGGAGAAAAAGAAAGAGTTAACCCTCACAAAATGCATTGTTTTGGTTCAAAGGTACTGGGTCCATGGAGAGACATGTCTCACAAAAATCCGTCAGTGTTTTTGTTTCCACCTTTTCCCATGAATAAATATTATCCATTAAGAGCCTTGAAAAGGTGCTTAAATACACAGTGTTATATTGTCTTCCTGTTTTGCATCTGACAACTGAGGCCTCTGGGCTGCTCTCGGTCTCACATCTCCTCAGGGGGTCCCCAGAAACAGGAGTGACCGGGTCTGGCTCCCCCTCCAGGCCGTGCTGGCTGGCACACAGTAGCCTCCACCCAAGGTCCCATCCCCTGCCCCCCACCCCCTTCCTCCGGCCCCAGGAGAGGCGGCTCCCCGGGGCTGTGCGCACCACAGTGACCTCGGGGCCCCTCTGCTGCCTCTTGCTCCTCCCAGGCACAAATTCCGGGTGGGGTGAGGGGATGGCGTGGTCCCCGTGGCCACCCACCAACACGCCAGCCTTCTTCGCCCCCACCACCCACTCTGGCCCTCTGCACAGCGGCTTCACAAGGCGGAGACCTTGACCACGTTGCTGGCTATGGAAGGAATGTTCGTGTTGGGGCCCGGGCTGGCGGGAGGCGGCCGGCTTTCTCCCTCGGGGGTGAGCGCGGGGGGCGTGGGGATGCTGATGATGGCTGTGGTGATCTGGGACGTTCTGCAGTTTGGTCTCAGTCCATCGTCTGCTTTCAGATTAAGGCTGGAGCGACTGCGACAGAAAAGGAGGGAGTTGCGGGCGGTGCCTCTTGCTAGTGTCCCGAAGTTCCCCTGACCCCCGGCATTTCTAGCTCATGGAAACTAGAAGGAGCTTTTGGTGTCCCTCTTCCTCTGCTCTGGCCATCCGCCTGTAAGTATCCATCCTTGCTGCCTGAACTACCGACGACGGCCCAGGCGTGGTGTCGGGCTTTGGGATTCAGAGTGTGCGTGCGTCTTCCCCTGCACCGGGTTGTTTGCCTGTCCTGTGTGGCATTTGACTTGGGCTCTCCCTGAATTCCTTGCAACTCACTGGAGGGGGGGGTTGAGGGAGTGGCCTGAATATGAGCAGAGACAGGAGGGGAAAGTCTGAGATTCAGAATCATTGTGGGATGAGCCACACCCAACACAATTGTGGAAATTATTTCCTTGGTCCATTCTTTGCACTGGGATAGGCCATTTGTGGGTTTTTCGGGGAAGCTATTTTTTCTGGTATCCAATCACACATTGGGCCTAAGCTGGCTATTGTTTTCCCCAAAGTGTGTGAAGGGCCTTTGGGCTAACGTGTAGGGCCCAGAGGAAGGTGGGGGAGGAAGGGGTGGGGCCCATGCATTGGATTAGGGGGACAGAGGGCCAGAGGACCTTGGGGGTTCTAAGCTGGAGACTGTCCAGTCCTGCGGCTGGAGGGTGCCCACCTGGTGGTGAGGGAGGGCTGCTCGCTGCCCTGGACGTGGATCGTGCTGAGCTCCTGCATGCTGCGCAGGCGGGTGGCCGGCAGGTTGGAGTTGGGCAGGTGTGTGGTCTTCTTGCTGCGCCGGGAGCAGCAGGTGGTCGTGAGGCCCGGATGGCTGGACAGCGAGGGGCTCCTTGTGGACGGGTAGTTCTGCATTGAGCTCTCCATGCAGTTCTGCTCGAACATCTGCTCGTCTATGAACTCGTGGTTCTGTGGGAGGCAGAAAGAGGAGATGCAGCAAAGGATGCAGGGAGGAGGGGGATGGGCCCCGGCTTGGGACGGCTGCCTGTCTGTGCCGGGCCCAGAGAAAAGGGCTCCCAGAGGCTGGGCGCAGACAGGCGTTCGGGAGGGCTGGTGTCCCACAGGCCTCTGATGATGGAGGAAGGAGAGTTCGGTGGGCAGCCCTGGCCATCAGGCTGGGGGTGGGCTGGGACTGGAGTTGTTAAAATCACGGTGGGGTCTACATGCCATCTGCAGCTTTGAGTTGAAGGGACACTGGGGACATGGAGGGATTTAGTGGCGTTGTCCGAGCTGGAAGCAAAGACAGGACCCCGGGGTAGCAGGTAAGGAGTCACTGCTACGGGCAGTCGGTGTGCTAGGCTGTCTTTTCCGGATTGAATGGGGGAGAGCCGCAGGAGTCCTGGGTAAACTTGAGACTGCCGCTTTTATCAGAAAGGCTCTCCCAAGGCGCTGGATTGTTCACGGGCTTGGGGGAGCCTGCTCTCGAAGGCCAGTGCGGTCAAACTGTCAGGGTTGCGATTTAATTACTGGTTTTTGTTTCACTGACAGTTGGACATGGATGCCTGGGGGCACAGGGGCCCCTAAGTCAAGGGTAAGCACAGGAAGGGGATGCTAACAGCTTCCTGACCAGAGGCCATCAGGAGGGGGTGGAGCTGAACCCTGGAGAAGTGAAAGCATGTCTGTCTGCCCCAGGCGGCTCGAACCCTCTGGCCCTGCCGGTCGGCCAAGGCTGCCAGAGTGCAGAGAAAGTCTGAAGGGAGGTAGCACGGGAGCAGTTTGGAGACCAGCCCCAGGCCGACACCAGGCGTCCCCACGGAGCCGGGGAGGTGGCCCTGGACAGTGGTAGGTACCAGCACTGGTGCCATGCTCCTCTGCCCCCTCCAAGCCCTTGGGGGTGTTAAAGAGGAAGTCAGAAAGGCAGCCGGGCAGTTCACAACACACTGGCAGCCGAGCCGGTGCTGGGGGTGACCGCGGAGGGGGGAGCAGCCCCGGAAGAACCAGCAGCACATGCAGACAACCAGGCCAGGGGTGAGCGGAGAGAATCCACAGACTCAGAAGAATCAGAGAGAAAGACAGCAATTGAAGTTTAAAAAAGTTATACCTTGATGGTGGACGTTCGTGCGGACAACAGGGGATCATCCGCAAGATAGGACAACCCCTGCGGGACGGCATGCCAACAGAAGACAGAAACACCACTGACTGCACATTCCGGCATTCCCAAGCTCAGTGTCCACATCCGGTCCCCGTCCCGGCATTCCGCCCCCAGGCTCCGGCACGACCTGCTCACACCCAACATTCGCTCCTTCCCTCCCCACGCCCCTCCCTGAAACCCAGCATTCCGTCTCTCCCGTCAGGACATCCCATCCCCGCAGTCCGACATTCTCCCCCTTGGATTCAGCATGCCGCCCCTCGCGGCCAGCATTCCAGCCCTCGATCCCCAGATCTCATTTCTTCAGTGCCAGCATTCCAGCCCTTCAGACCCAAATGGCCCCACCCGCCCCACCCGGCACGTGCAGTGGGGAGGGTGGCCGGTCTGGTTGGCGCCTCCAGCAAGCGCTGACTTGGAGAGAGATTCTGCGCCCACGTGCAGCACTGGGTGCTAAGGCAGGTTGGGTGAGTCTGGAGACTAGGGTTTACAGACTGCCCCCCACTGCGGAAGTCCTCCCTGGGCTCAGCCGCCACCCACAGTGTCATCTAAGATCCGTCCCCTATACTGAGGCGGCTGGGATATGGGACGTGAGAATTAGAAGGTTCTTCCTTACTGCGCTGAGCCGGGGCTGCAGGGTGTTTGGGGAGGGAGGTTCTGGAGAAGAGCAGGAAAGGGTTTCACTTCGTCGCATTGGCTGTCCACCCTGATGGCCCCGCCCTCCCTGCCATTCCTGACATGTGGGGCCAAGGGTCCGGGTTGGTCCATTGCCCTTCCTTCCCATCTGTCTGTGCGGCAGAGGCATCATTCCGCATCCCCACTAGGAGGCCCTACACCACGCTGTTTGAACGGTGAGCCTTTTGAAAATCTAAGCTCCCCGGACAGCAGGGTGACAAGAGGAAGCACAAAGATCGAATCCCTGTTTGGGGAAGGAAATACACATGCGATGCCTCCTTACTTACCGTCTCCTGTTCCTAGAGGAATGGAGGGAGCAAAGGGACCCACAAACTGCGTCCACTTAGCCCCAGAGGTAGGACAAAAATCGACATGCATCTCTGCTGTCCCGTAGCAAGTGAGTATAATAAACTCAGCCCTAGTTTTGAACAGTGATGCCCCTCACAACTGGGGGACTGATGGGCAGAGCCCTTGGCCCAGTAACCAAGACACGGGTGTGGGAGGGGAGCGGAGGGGGAGCCTGGGGAACGGCCTCCTCTGCACTGCAGGGCACAGCTGGCCTGGCCCTGGCGACTCTGCCCCTCTCCTTGGGGTTCACAGAGACCTCCTCTCTACTTTTGGGCTCGGAAGGGGGCAGACTTCGACTCCTGAAGCTGGCCCAGGATGAAGATGAGAGTGGGGTTCTCTGTGACCTGTGACCTCAGAAGAGGGATGGGACTCACAGTGGTTTTCTCCAGGCAGTGCAGCAGGTGGTGGTGCTGGCTCTCGATGAGCGAGGTGGTCTTGCCCACGTGCTCCTCCTCCGGGGTGCCCTAGGGAGACGGGGAGATAGACCGAGGACAGGGCTGGGGACCCGTCCTCTCCCCAGCTTCTCCACCTCCTACAGACGGGGGGAGGGCACCGGAAAGGCCAGGCTGAATCAGGTTTTAGGGCCACCGTACAACATGCTCGCCTTGGTCTGAAGCTGGTCTGGGCAGTGGTGACAGTTCCGTGGGAGAGGTGTAGGGGCTGCAGTCTGGGGCAGGCTTTGGGGCGGGAGTTCTGGTGCCCCCAAAAGAGAGAATGAGTCTATTGTCTCCTCTACCTCCCCAGCCCGGGTCCGCTGGGCACCTACCATCAGCTCCAGAGCCTCGTTGAGGAGCCCATTGCGCTTGCTGTGCAGGTAGGCGTTGGAGCTGCCTGTTTTCGCCACACGGATCCTGGCGAGGCGGGCCTTCTGTGATTGGCAGAGACAATCGGAGCGTGAGGTCCAAGGACCATGAGCCTGGCTAGGCCAGGGCAGGGGCTGTCCCAGGGAGGCTGGGCTCTTGGGTGATTACGGATGTTGGGGGGGGTCTGCTTCTCCCCAGCCTCCCAGGTCTCTGTTCCTAGGCCCTGGGACTGGGTCTGAGACACTGTCCCCTCCTGGTGCAGCTCGGTTGTGATCTGAGCTCCCAGAGGTCTCACTCACCTCTCCAGCTGGGTGTCATCCTTGGCTGGAGCGGCACTCATCCGAGTCCATCCGAGTCCCCCCTCCTCCCAACGGTTCCTGAGCGGGTCAGCTCAGCGACCCATTGGGTATTGCTCATCAATGACCCATTGGGTATTGCTCATCAATAACCCGTTGGATGTTGCTCATTGAGCTCTTGCAAGGAGCGTATGTCACAGCCCTTCTGTGAGCCTCCACTGGGGTCCAGTGCCCTTCCCTGCAGGCAGCAGGGGCCCAAGTATCGGTTAATTATGAGCGAAGCAAAAAGTGTGCACGTGGGCCCTGCATCCTGCTCAAGTCCTTCCCCACACTTTCCGCCTTAGCACTCGTTATGAAGGGGGTCTGGTGTTTACACACTTAGGTCGTTACTGTCTCCCCTGCCCGTCAGAACGTACACTTGTGAGGGCAGGAGGTTTGGTTTTGTTCACTGATGTCTCCCCAGAACCTAGTCATTTTAAAATAAATAAATGAGGACTTCCGCCAAGATGGAGGTATAGGTGGATGTGCCGTGCCTTCTCACACAACCAAGTTTAGGGACAACTAAATATTAGCATCAGAAAACACAACTAGAACACGGAAAATTGAACTTTTCGGAAGTCCGTTAACAACAAATTCTTCAGCCCGACCGGTAAGGGGCGAAACCGGCGTCTCGTGAGGGGTTACACAGGAGGACTCCGGTCGGGCGGACCCAGGCGCGGAATCCAGACGTGCGAATCCAGACGCACGGGTTCCAAACGCAGGATTGGACCTAGTGAGCGACCAAGCAACCCACCGGGTGAGCGACTGCTGAGGAGACAGTGGGGAGGCGGTGCTGCGTGTTGACTGCGGTTGCCTATTTGCGGGCGAGCGGACAGGCGAGGGAGTGGGCGGTTGGACCGGGGCCGGCGGTCCCCGTGGCGTGCGGCAGTAGAGGGCGCCGCCATTTCCCCGCTCTGACCACGCCCCCACATACAGCGTCACAACCCAGCGACCTGGGAGTCCAAGGCGCCGCTTCTCACATTTAAAGGGCCAGAACAGACCAAAAATGTCGCAGGAAGACCTCAAAGCCCCAGAGATAAATCTAAGTGACAAAGAAATAGCAAAACTCTCAGACGCACAGTTTAAAACACTGGTCATCAGGATCCTCACAGAACTGGTTGATTATACCGACAAATTAGACAAACATATGAAGGCGAAACTAATTGAAATGAATGGAATTCCACAGGAAACCCATAGAGATGAAAAGGAAACTGGGACTCAAATCAATGGAGTGGACCAGAAGAAAGCAAATAATGGCCAAACAGAAAAGAGTCAAGGAGCAAGAATTCAAAGAAATGAGAGTCTTAGGAACCTCCAGGACATCTTTAAATGCTCCAATATCCGAATTATAGGGGTACCAGAAGGGGGAAAGACAACCACCAGTGGAAAAATGATTTGAACAAATAATAAAAGAAAATTTCCCCAATCTGGCAAAGGAAATAGACTTCCAGGAAATCCAAGAAGCTCAGAGAGTACCAAAAAAGTTGGACTCAAGAAGAAACACACCAAGGCATATCATAATTACATTAGCCAAAATTAAAATGAAGGAGAGAATCCTAGAAGCAGCAAGACCTAAGGGGACAATCACCTACAAAGGAGTCCCCATCAGACTGTCAGCAGATTTCTCAAAAGAGACCTTACAGGCAAGAAGGGGCTGGAAAGAAATATTCCAAGTCATGAAATCTAAAGACCTACAACCAAGATTGCTCTATCCAGCAAAACTTTCATTTAGAATGGAAGGACAGATAAGGTGCTTCTCAGATAAGATCAAATTCAAGGAGTTCATCATCACCAAGCCCTTATTATATGAAATGTTAAAGGGACTTATCTAAGAAAAAGAAGGTAAAGAAACATGAACAGTGAAAGAACAACAAGCTCACAGTTATTAACAACCACACCTAAAACGAAAGCAAACTAAAAGAACAGCTAGATCAGGAGTGGAAACATAGAAATGAAGATCTCAAGGAGGGTTAGCAACAGGGGAGTGGGAGAAGGAGATGGGGGGAGAAGGTACAGAAAATAAGTAGCATAGACAGTAGATAGAAAATAGATGGGGGGGGGCAAGAATAGCATGGGAAATATAGAACCTAAAGGACTTGAGACACATGGACATAAACTAAAGGGGGGTAATGGTGGGGATGGGGGGGCAGGGTGGAGGGGAATGAAGGGGGGAATAGAACAACTGTAACAGCATAATCAATTTAAAAAAATAAATTAGAAAAAAAAAGAAAAATAAATAAATGAGTTTACAATTACATGTCTGTCTCTGGGAGTGGGTGCGTGCACAGATGTGTCAATACGTGCATTTTCTTGTGCATGCCCGTGGGGATGAGTGTGGGAGTGTGTGTGTAACTGGGAGTCTGGAACACCTTCCACGCAGCACTCTGGCTCTAACTGGGACAAGGGGACACCGGCAGCAGACCTCTGGGAGGAGAACAGCCTTGGCATTGCATTGCAAGCTGACATCCCCTGTCCTCAGAGGCCGTGGGAGGGGCTGGGCGGCACACACCAGCTGCTCTTCCCCTCCTGCTGGTCACCACCAGGGTCCTGTCGGCAGCAGAGCTGCAGAGTGAGGCCGAGGAGGAAGAGGCTCTGGGAGGACGGGGAGTGGCCCTTAGTGGGGCTCCTGCTGGTGTGAGGCCAACGTGGTCAGAGGCCAGCATGCTTGTGGCCCTGGCTCCAGGTGCTGCCACTGTGAGCAGAGGTACTCGTGGGGACCCAGATGCATCCTCAGTCCCTTGCTTTGACCACTGCTCGGCCTCTGAGCAGGAGAGGGGTTCTTGGAAATCGGTGGCCATTTCCACTTCTTGTCACCCTGGTTCCAATATGGGAAAGTGTCCCCTCCAGCTGTCCAGCTGGGCTGGTGCATCTGTTGAAAGAAAGGCAGGGACGCAGATCCAGGCTGTCCACAGAATCACAGACGATTTCTCCCTTTTGTTGGCTGGGAAGTCACTCTGTGCCCAGTGTGTCCCTGCAGGGACAATTCAACTCTCTTCCCTGACTTCTAAATACAGGGGCGAGGCCAGGACTTGAACTTGGAAGATCTGCCTGTCACTTCTGAGGAAGAACGCTCCAGAGGGAAGGACGACAAATAAGCCCTATTCTCTTCTCTCTGCGCAAGGAACAGTTACTCAAGTCTAGGACAATTCTCCGCCCTGGGGGTCCTGCTCCAGCCCCCACCTGGCAGCTGGCTGCCTACATCGAAGCCAGTGCCTGACTGTGGGGGACGTGGCTGCTATCGCTTGGGGTGCAGACTGGGGGTTGAGAGGTGCACACGGGTAATCCAACTGTGCCGAGCTCATTCCAGCCTTATGTAACTTGATCGCTCCGCTTAGAGTCCGACCTTTCTCGGGTTTGGGGTCCGTCTTCATTACTTCCTAGAGATGAAAGATTCTCCTGTTCTCCTTTGTGGCAATTCTTTTAATCTTATCTCACCCTAGGCTCTATTAAAGCAACAGATTGTCATATCAAATGTACTGTATCGTTTAATCATTTCCCACGCAGGATCGAGGTTCGCAATGTGTTTACAGAACCAAACCCAGCACTTGGAATGCGGTGAGGCTCCCTGGCTCGGCTCTGGGCTCTTCACAGCCGGGGCCTGTGGCTTCCGTGTGTGCTCATCTCCCGTGAGAATTCTCGTACAAAGCTTCGCCCTGAGCAGGGGTTCGGCTGGGCGTGGGGTGGCCCAGGAAGGAAGAAGCCACATGGGGTGTCAGAAACGCATGTTAATAAAGCCATCGCAACAGGCTCCATCGCCGCGTGGGCTGGTCAGCTTCACACTCCGCCACAGCCATGAGCACAGCATGAGAGTTAAAGAGAGTTTGTGATCATCCGGAATCTTGCAGACAAGACACGGAGGGCATGCCAGGAAGGGCGGGCCTGGGGGTAGACGGGGAACTAGCTAAGACTTCAGCGCAGGTGCGCCGCGGCCCAGGCCAGATGCTGCCCCCTCCTGCCTGGAATTTCAGCCGCTGGTTTTCACAGGAGCGGAGACAACAGTGTCGGAGGTGGGGTCTGGACGCGGGACGCCGCCGCCCTGGGTGCAGTTCCAGGTGCAGTCCTGCTCGGGTACCTGGCAGTCCTCTGGGGGCCCGTCCCCAGCAAGCCCTTCCCAGCGGTAGGGCTGCAGGCACACTCTGGCCATGACTGTGGCACCTCCTGCCCCTGGGGAGGCCGAGGGAAAACAGGGAATTCTCACACTCAGACCTCAATCCCAGGGTAATGGAAAGCGGGTTCACGTGGGATCCTGCACGCGAAGAGTCACCGTGGAGGGGAACCACAAAGTGCGACCTGCCCGGACCTCTGCAGGCGGACGGTTACACAGGATGCGGTGCATGCGCATCCCGGGAACTGCGCAGCCGCAGAGGGACGACCACCGCATACACAACGGGAGGGGTGTCCAGGAACCACGCGCAGAACGAAGGAAGTCAGCTCCGAAGGTTGCCGCCTTTGCGAGAGGTTAGGGACAAGGCGGTGGTCGGGTGGGAGGGTGTGATTATAAAGGGGGTGGTGGTGGTGGGTGCAGGAATCTGCAGAGCTGCTAGCGTTGTAGAAAACTTGACACGCACACACACAAACTGGTTGTGTCAGCGTCCATGCCCTGGTGCGATCATCTAAAATAAAAGGGAGAGGGGACCAAGTCCTTCACTCCAGATGCTCCCTGCGCTCTGTCCACTGCTTGGCCTCCTCATCCTCCGAT